AATTTAAAATCATTAAGAATCACATAACAAAGTTACACATTACTCATATAGCACTAATACTCCTTTTGAAAATGAGTTAAAATTTTGAGGTTCAATCCATTCCTTTTATAAATGTTATCCCCTTTTCAATAAGTAGCATAAACTAGACATTCCTCTTCAATCTATACTCCTTTCACTTGCCTCAACCTGTTCAACCATTAATGGTCAATTTTAGTGCAGAATATTCTCCTCAAAGTTGGAGTTTGGAATTGAGTCTGCCACACCGCGTCAAGGATTAAAGGTATCCACCGGTGGGCGTAGCTCAACTGGTAGTAAGGGAGTGCCACAAGGGTTAAGTTCCATGTTCGAATCCCGACAACTGCGATGAGGGGTTACTATGCTAAAAATGCATAGGACCTCTGCAAGTACCGGAGACAGAGCCTCACTCTCTACCTGTCAGATAGGGATTATAGTCCAATTTACATCCTCCCAACGTACCGTTCGGTCGGGGTTGGGGGGCCCTCAGGGATGGGGTGTCATCCTTTTTTATAAGGATTAAAGGTACCCATACTGGGAGCAAAGGGGTACTACAAAGAAGAAGGACTAGATTTTGATAAAACCCCTGGTTAATCTGTAACTTTTAATTAATGCATTGTAAATTAGGTTGGAACAATAGATTTAGAGTTTATCTCACTCTTACAAGCGAGCATGCATAGAAGATTCATTCAAATATTGTTAAGCAATTGGAAAGGATGAAAAAATCGAAGGAAAAGCAATCATGAAATTGAGTGTATCAATAAAATCTGTCAAAAAAGTGATGCACAACAAAAAGATAATTGGATGTTGGCCTACCAATACATGTGCACAGCTACTCGAAGGGACACATGGTGAGAAAATAAAAAGCATTTGGTTTGCAAAAAATTACAGAAAATTCCATATCACCACGGAAAAAAGATGAGAGCTTCAATTTGGACTATGCGATCATGCGATGGACATGTCAAAGTGAACTATCTGAAGCTCCAGACAAATTTATATGAGATCAAACCGGTAAAATTTGACTTAAGTACTCATGTAAGGCCAATTTAGATCAAATCCATGACTTAGAAAATAGTAAAATACACATACATTAAAATTTTATTAAACCGGAAAACTTCATAGACAAGATCAGACTTGAACAGATCAGCCCATATCAAATCAAAAAGTTTTGGTGCTATTCAAAACAACTTGAATGGACTACTCATCCATCTCAAAATTTAAGTATTGCCTAAATTGATCGCAAACCTGAAAAATATTGGGTTCAATCTCTAAATACGAATCCTCTGATTCTATATTTGCAATTTGAAATAAATATAATTAAAGAATTTAATTTGAAATTAAATCTTTATTTTTTCAAATATTTGAGCATTTTTGAGATCTTAAAATCTTTGTTCTTGAGATCTTTAGATATTCGATTCTTTATTCTTCATATCTTCGAACTTTCGTTCTTCGAATTTTCAAATCTCTAGAACTTTGTTTTCTATGTTTTCAAATCTTCAAAAGTTTGGTCCTTTAAATCTTTGAGTGTTTTGAATGTAGAATTTAGTTTGAAGGGTCTTCCATTCTTCAAATAGCTTGATCTTCAACAAAAGAGTCGTTTTATGACTTAATCTTCAGTCAAAGGGCTTCTCGGGATACATGGCTTGATCTTCAATTGAATCTAGATTCAATATTGATATGAATATCTTCAATTCTTCAAAGACCCGCTCTTTGGATCTTTGAATCTTCAAATCTTTGTTGTTCAGATCATAGAATCTAAAATGTTTCGTTCTTCAGATCTGAAAGCGTTCTTCATAAAGGACCATTCATTTATTCTTAATAAAATTTCTGTCTAGTCTTGATCTATTCTTTTCAACTGAGACCCCTATTTACAGGTATGGAGGGGATGAGATATCATTTAGGGATTCAAGAATTCGTCCGTATCTCTAGGGCTTCAATTGAAATGAGCTTTGGACTCCATCCACTTGCTTTTCAAAAGCTAGAAAAATCATCATTTATGCAATATTTTTGAATGATGTCTCTTATATATTCAGCAACTATTTAATAATGGGCTTAAAATAGATTTAGTAGGACATGTTTATTCTGTTAAAGACTTAATTTATAATTAAATTAATTGGACATTTAAATGACCCGAATTAATTTAATCGCTAAATTATAATCGAATGGGTCCATATTAATATTTTCCTTTTGATAAGACACAACAATCATTACAAGCAGTCCAGTAGAATCTTATGGTGGCCCAATATGATTGAGAATAGTTCGGTAGCATTTAAAAGGGACCCAATATCAATTGTTCATGTTTAATTATAACTAGTACAGTACCCATGCATACGCACATGATAGAACAATTGTTGCATATATTTTTACTCAGAATCTAATTAAATATTAAAATGAAAATAACTTTTTAGGATTCTATATTTAAAATGCCACATACTAAGGATTAGATAATAAGAGAAATTTAATGGTGTAAAGATAGAATTGCATCATGGTCGATCTGCATTCTTATCAATTGAAATTTATGACGTACATGATTGTGGACAACCAATCAAATTAATTTATAAGGCGAAGTCTATAATTATGTGATAGATTCTTTAAATTAATGGCGTGAGGTGTGAAACACAAACACACCAGAGAGTGACCATGTTAATCTTCCTTCTTAACGGGAGTACGGCACTATGGTATTATATATTTCATTCAATTTCTTTATGGGAAAGATTTATTAAAATCTTGTACTCCCTCCGTCCCATTTAAAGGTTCTCGTCTACTATTCATATGGTCATCTTAAATCATTCTTAACCTTTTGCTTTATATATCAAATTTTTATGAAATTTACATATTTTTTATCAGCCTTTGTAGCGACTTTAATGTAGTTTCTGAATATATAAATTTTGTTTTCTAAAAATAATCGAAGTGTGAACAGGGATTAAGTTGCTTTATCGTCAATCAAGCATCTATATGGGAACCTCTATATGGGACGGAGGGAGTATTATTTTAGATTCAACAACTATTTAATAATGGGCTTAAAATAGATTTAGTAGGACATGTTTATTCTGTTAAAGACTTAATTTATAATTAAATTAATTTGACATTTAAATGACCTGAATTAATTTAATCACTAAATTATAGTCGAATGGGTCCACATTAATATTTTCCTTTTGATAAGACCCAACAACCATTACAAACAGTCCACTAGAATCTACGGTGGCCCAATATGATTGAGAATAGTCCGGTAGCATTTAAAAGGGACCCAATATCAATTGTTCATGTTTAACTATAAAGCATGATCTATAGAAATGGCCCAATCGCTTTTTACATGTCCACACTCTCAAATACATAAATTTCAATCTTACAATTTATACATAAATCTCAATCTTACAATTTATACATAAATCTCAATCTTACAATTTTTATTTTTATTGTATGCAAGTCAAATTTGATCAAATGATATAGGCATAGAAAGTAAATAATTTGAACACTAGTGTGAAAGCGGTGAATCTGTAATCAATATTTTATTAATTAACCAATTAATATATTTAAAGAAAATTTTCAAATCGGAGTAAACATAGAAAATTTGCACAAACAAGGGCATCTATATTTTATTCACAAAATTATGATTTATTTGTTATATTAAGCATAAAAGTTTCTCAAATGGAAGAGACTTATTTTTAGATAACAAAGTGATGGTTTACTCTTAAAGAATTATGAGTACATTTTGTCTAATTGTCTGTGTTTTACTTTTAAAGATTTTAGTCAAATATTTAACCCTGCTTTCCAAAAATGGTTTCCGTCAATAACCCTCACGCTGCGGCGTAAGGTATAAATGTATAATAATCATGAATTCACATGTCGGGAAAGAAATCACATTGTTAGGAGGTTTTTATTTCTCGACGCTAATGCTTTGTTGGGCTAATTAAACTTTTAGATGCCGATCATAAAGACATAAATCCTTATCCTTGAATATAATTCTTCTTCCAAGCATCTTCAAATCTTCTATGTAAAGAAGTTCATTAAGTAAGAATTTTTATATATGTATTTACTTTTTGTACGTATAACCTACTAGTATATTCTATTGGTAATTATTGGCAATTTTTCAAGTCCATCAATTTTAAAAATTTAGATGTATACTTTTAAAAATCTATAAAATTCTAGTGTATTCAATGTAGACTTAAATTTTGTTTAAGAATGAGTTCTCGTTGACTTTTAACTCTTCTCTTCACCAAAGATTTCTGTGGACTTTTCTAGTGTCTTCTACTCGTCACAAGTACACATAGATCTGGTTGCAGATTTGACTCATTATTTACTTGGGATCACAAACTGTCCAACAAGTCCTGGGTCAGTATCGCTCGGGTTGGGAGGTGGTACCAATATGATCTCAATATGCAAGATTTGAAAATTAAATTTTATTTTTTTATCATTTACAATAAGTAAAGTTGAACAAGGACATTCTAAATTAATACCGCAAGATAAACTTTAGAAAAAATAATATGTGATATTTTATACTCCCTCCGTCCCTGAAAATCATTCTCACTTTCCTTTTTGGGTCGTTCCAAAAAATTCTCCCCACTTACCATTTTTGGACAATTTGTGTGGTTCACATTCATTTCACATTTTTCTTACACAACCACAATCATACATTTCCACTTTATTCCACTTTCTTAATATTCGTGCAAGTCAAACTGGGAAGAATTTTCAAGGACGGAGGGAGTATGTCATATTACGAAGAAAAATGTAGGGTGAGATCGGTTCAGTTCTCACTACAAGAATTCCGCTAATCAGTGGCGGATTTTTATGGCGAAAATGAGTCCGACGGTATTTAGTGTCGGAATTTAATGGGGGTGTTACATCCGCCGGTATTTAGTGGCGGATGTTTCGCTAGTACTAACCGTCAGTAAACAATGACGGAAATCGGTCCGACACTAATATCCGCCACTAATTCAAAAAAATAAATACTACCTACCAACCCATTCTAACTCCACACACAATCCTTATCCTCACACCTCTCTGGACATGCTTTCTTCACCAACTCCAAACTCGAAAAAGGTTAGAATTCTTACCTTTTTTTGAAATTAAAGTTATTTTAATTTATAAATTAACTTAATTATCATGTGCATATATGTTTATATATTAGAGAAATTTTCTCCTTGTTTGTTTGGTTTCCATATTTTCTCTTAAAAAATACAATTCAACTATATTTATGTTCATTACAAGATTGAAGATTATTGTTAGAAAATAAATATAGGAAATTGCTTGTTCAAGTTAGATGTGTTGAATGAAATTCAATAATAGATATATGTTGTTCATATTATTTATAAAAAATTTGGAGATAATATAGTAAAAAATAAAATGTATAATGTAGATGGAAACTTAAATTCTAATTCATATTAATTTCTTAAGAGAAAATTTGGAAATACTTTATTTATAATATATTTATATTGCTACTTTATTTAGTTTATTCAATGAAAATGTAATGTATGTCGTTTTATTTCAGTATGAGTAATAATAGGTCATGGATGTACAAAAGATTAGAGAGACGAGGATGTCTAAATGATGATTTCAAGGAAGGTGTCAATGAGTTCATTCAGACAACGGTAACTTTATATTCTAATGGTGTCATTGCATGTTCCTGTAGAAAGTGTAAAAATCGAAAATGGTTGACTTGGGATATTGTTAGGCAACACCTATTTGAGAAAGGTTTTATCGATGACTATTATGTATGGGCAGCACATGGAGAGACACCCAATTCAAATGGTCTGGTTTATTTTGATCAACCTAACTCCTCGCATTGTAATGCATCTGAGGCCCAATATGATCCATACAAATCGATGTTTGAGGATGCAGTGAGGAATGAATTCCCAACAGAAAATCAAGGTGATTTTCTTGTGAGTGATGAGCCTAGTGCAGCAGCAAAGAAGATGTATGAGATGCTAGATATGACGAGTCAACCATGCTTTGAGGGTTGTCCAATGACTGAGTTGAGCGCAATGTCTGAAATGTTGAACATAAAGACTGAGATGAATCTATCTGAGGCTGCTACAGACAGGATTGCTCAATTTGTTAATAGATTTTCCCCAACTAAAATCCCCAACAGGCCTATACCAAATTTCAACAAAATAAAAAGGAAGTTATCGTTGTTGGGAATGACTAGCCAGTCTATTGACTGTTGCCAAAAAGGATGCATGATATATTGGAACGGAGACAGTGAGCTAATGGAGTGCAAGTTTTGCGGTGGTGCAAGATACAGGATCAGTAAGCAAACAAAAAAACCAATTCCACTTGCAAGAATGGAGTACTTCCCACTTACTCCTAGATTACAAAGGCTTTATGCATCAGATACTACCGCGGAGAAAATGAGGTGGCACAAAGTTCACCATAGAGAAGAAGGAGTGATGCAGCATCCGTCGGATGCAAAGGCGTGGATTCATTTTGACAATCTCCATCCAGATTTTGCTGAAGACCCGAGAAATGTTAGACTTGGTTTATGCAGTGACGGGTTCCAGCCATTTGGGCAATTTGGTCAGAAATACTCTTGTTGGCCTATCATAGTGACACCATACAACTTGCCACCAGGTAGGTGTATGAAACAACAATTTTTATTTTTGTCTATATTGGTACCTGGACGAAAAAAACCAACAAAGGGGATAGATGTGTATTTGCAACCATTGATAGAAGAGTTGAAACAACTGTGGGAGGTTGGGGTTGTAACGTATGATGCATTCTCAAGGGAAAATTTCAATATGCGAGCTATGTTGTTATGGACAATAAGTGATTTTCCTGCATATGCCATGCTTTCTGGATGGAGTACAAAGGGAAAATTTGCATGTCCATGTTGTGCTGAGTTTACTGAAGCATTTTGGTTATCCCATAGCAAAAAACATAGTTGGTTTGATAATCATAGAAAGTTCCTACCAGGTGATCATCCATTTCGGTTTGATAATGAGAACTTTACTAAGGGAAAATCAATCTTCTATGGCCCTCCGTTACCGAGAGATGGTTCATACTGCTATGATGAGGTCGGTTCCCTGATGCCCGTGACTGAACTAGGAGGTATTGAGCATAATAAAATAGCTGGAAAAGATATTGGATGGAAGAAACGTAGTATATTCTGGGATCTCCCGTATTGGAAGGATTTGCTTGTACGGCATAATCTCGACGTGATGCACATAGAGAAGAATTTCATTGAGAATATGTTCTATACAATTTTGGGGGTGCCAGGAAAATCGAAGGACCATGCTAAAGGGAGAATGGATATGGAACAAATTTGCCATAGGCCGAGTATCGAGAGGGACAGTCACGAAAAATTCCCTAATCAACATATCTGTTACCAAAACAAGTCTAAATTTTCAAGGAATTGTCTTAAAACAAATCAAGTATAATCTTCATCCAGCTGGACAACAATGGAAATGGGTCCCTGATAAAACTAAACAGTTATATTGGGAACAATTCCAGGTATGTGTGAGTAATATGTGTTGTTTTAGAATATAATTATATATGGTATGTGTTTTCAAGTGTTTTCAAGTGTTTTGTCATACCTTTTCTGGAGTTAAACACTTTATTTTAACTCAAAATCACCTATATTCTTAAAGATTGAAGGTTTGATTGTATATAGGATGTAGTCACTTGGAATATTTCTGAGTTCAAACTTAAAGACATCAAGGAAGGTTATGAAAAGTATTTACAGAATCATGCTTACTCCAATATCATGGGTGATATCAGGTGAGCATAATGAATGATATTTATTTTTACTAGTCAATTTATTTAATTAACTTGAAATATAATGGTTATCCTTATTACACTTGAAGGGAAAAACGGCCTGTAACAGTGAATGACTTCACTTGGGGTGCTGTTGAAGAATATAAGAGGTCAACGCAATTTCAGAGGGCATCTGCTGCTGGTAAGAGAAATCGTATTGCCGGTGGGGACAAATGCAAACAATATGGGGGTTCTCGAGCTGCGGTTGATGTGGCAGCCCAAGAGGTGAGTTTAAAATTTATTTTGATATATGTCTCAAATTTTAGGTGATTCATTGGATGATGTTTTTGCATTTTGTTTTAGTTGAGGATTACCGGTGAACATATAAATCCTGTCAAACTTTGTGAGACCTTCCATCCAAAGAAAAGGAAGAATGGAGAGCTAATTGATTATTCTTCACAACCGAAAGTTATGGTATGTAATTACTTTTCTGCTTCTTGGGTCTCTATATTTTACATTTATAAATATTTTAATTTATTTAATTTAAATGTATAACCATATAAGAATCTGCTCTAAACCCTAAAGATTTTTGTACCATCATTGAGTCTGTAAATGTATTGTACATATATAGTCAGTGTTTTCTGTTTTAGCCCCCTTATTAAGTGTGTAAATGCATTGTATATATGGGTATTGTTTTCTGTTTTTAGCCCGTGTACTGAGCGTGTAAATGCATTATATATAAGGGCTGTTTTTTTGTGATTTTAACCCCTGCTTTGTGTGTGTAAATGCATTGTATATATTTGGAGTGTTTTCTAATGGCCAATACAACTGACTGTGAAGATTTTATTTGCTTAGTTATCACCATGCTTCCCCTCTTGCTACTATCCAATTTGCTCAAAGCCTCAAACGCAGTCCTACACACGCTAACTGTACATTCATATCTCAGAAAAGAGTGGAGGATGTGTTTGGTTATTTTTAACACTTATCAAATTCTTTTCGATAATTACTGTATTTGGTAACTTTATTTATGTAAGATTTGATCTCAAGATTGTATTAGGTCACCACTTTACACGTAGTTTATAGTATTAAATCTGTAAACATCCTATTGAGATTTTTTGAGCAATTGTGAGTTGTGTCGTTATTGTAAAAAATTACCGGCAATGTTCTCTTTTTAATTGTGTAGTGTATGATTTTAGTTCATTTTTCTGATTTTGATGTTGATGATTCATGAGTTTAATAGGTAGTGCAACATACCATGCATTGTACCTAATGTTTTTTATTAGAGAGTATCAAATATTTGAGTGACTTGCATCATCTTGTTTGCACAGGAGGTTATTAACAAGCTGTCTACTACATTCCATGAAGCTGAAAGTGAACATCAATCACAAGAAGCTGAAATTTCTGCGGCAGCAAAATCAGTAATTTCTGAGTTGCATTTCAAGTATTTTGATGTCGTTGGGTACAACAAGAAAAGAATTTTGGGAACGGGAAGGTATTCCAAAGCGTTTCTTCTCCAATTACAGTCAAATCATAAAGGATCTTCATCAAAACGCTTGCATGATTTTTGTGTTGCTTGGGATGAGCATATGAGAAAATGGTTGTCTTCGCATGGTCATGAGGCTCCACCGGTTATGCCTCTTGTGGATGAAAGTTTGACAAATAAGAATCCCGAGTTACAACCTAAAAGTTTTGAAGAAACATGGCTTCCGTTCTTCAAGTCATATGGAATTGATGCCCCAAACTTCTTTCCACAACAAGATTTATCCTCTCAAGGCTCTCAACAGTCACATGGAGACTCTTTATCCAACTAGATGCATAACTTTAATTTTGAAATGGCTTAAACATTTTAAACCACATTAATGTGGTGATATGTATGCCTTTTTTGGATTTAGTATTGAACACCAGATACTAACAGTGACTTGGATGTTTTTTTTGGATTTAGCATAGTTGGGGCTTTAGTAGTGACCTGGAATCTAATTAATGTAAAATCTAAGCTAGTATAATATATATTAAGAATATTATTTTTTGGCAATATTTGATTTTAATTATATTTAATGGTTCAAATTTATCTTTTCATGCTTTGATTTGATAAATTAATATAAACAGTGTTTGGTAGGCATACATAAATAATAATTGAATTGAGAGCAATTCATAAATGAAGATTTTTTTTTTTTGTGAATAAAAATTAATTACCGGCGAATAATAGTGACAGATATTCCGCCACTAAAACTGTTGGCGGAACCATCCGTCACAAAAGTCCGCTTCTAATCACTGACAGATTTGAAAATCCGCCACGAAACAATATTACTTCCAGAATTTACTGGCGGACGATCCGTCAGTGATTTCCGTCACCAAGAATTTCTGTAGCGGAGTTAGCGACGGATATTCCGCCACTAAATTGCGAGATTTCTTGTAGTGTCTTGAAGATAATTTGGAACCAATTGAAGCACCGTTAATCCCATATCGATTCGGTTCTAGAAGTTTTTAGAAGAACCAATATAAGAATCGAAAGTATTACATCGGTGCAATTCTGGTACGTCGTCAGTTAAACATCACGAGAAAGAATATTTTAACTTTTATTGTGTTTTATCGTTAAACCGCTAACACATAAAAATATAATTTCAAATTGATAAATATATAACTATAAATAAGCTAAAAATGAAGAGAAAACAATTATTAAGAAGAAAAACTCGACTGCACTATTGCTTGTACCACATGTAGCAATGAGTGTAACGCCTGTGTAACGATTAATGTTCTTACTCATTGAGTTGTGTAATATAACAATTGATCATAAATAGACCGAGATTGCTGAGCATTCTTGAAACTTAGAGTTTTCTTTTTAATAAAATTACATTTGGATTCTTATGCTTCATTTATTCTTGTAGAACTCTGCGTTGCCAGATGAATTACATTTGTTTCATTTATTTATTTAATTGTTTCTTATCATATTATACAGAGGAAATTACTCATGGTAGGATTAAAATATAACATTTTTTTCAAAGTATGATCATATGTTTGATTTTTTTAAATAGGATTAAATATTACATTTCTACCCATAATTTAATTAATTAATATAATTAATAAATAATTGCTCATAATTCCCTTGCATAACCAAAGTCATTTTGTTGGTGGTGGATAAGTCCGATGACGACGACGAGCTCCGGTGACGAAGGCGGACATGCAGATTGGTAGGGGCGATCTAGGTGAAAATTCTAACGACCGATAGTGGCAATTCAGATTTAAAAGTCTATGGACTTTTTGAAATTCTATACACTTATCAATGAATTTAAACGTCCATTGACCTTTTTAAATGTTTATGGATTAAAAAAAAGCCACCACAATCCATATTCAGTACACCCTTGTTAATCTGTCCAATTTTGATAGAATACTCTTTGCAAGTCTCGTATAAGATTAATACGAAGTAATACTGATAGAGTATATGAGTCCAAACCCCATGATCCACACACTCACATAAGATAAACGCCACCAGACGGTAGGAGACTCGACTAGTGCCCTCGGCCAAACGAGGCAAACTCTACCAGGAAAACCCAAAAGGCTCGAGAACACAGAACTGGAACGAAATGGCATCCTTGGCCATTGCCTCCCTCGGCCTGTACCTCCCTCGGCCTATACCTCCCTCGACTAAGGCTCCCTCGACCAAGAACTTATGAATAGCTTAATTATACATTACACTTAACTCTATGAAATCATGTAACCAGCTCATTAACGACCCCTATTGTATCGGGTCTTCTAAGCCCAATACCTGGGAACCCAGCCTATATTTCCTTTATAAATACTTCCCTTGGAGGTAGTTGTGGGGGATTGAAAAATATTAATTACAAGGGAAAAAGGTCAAATAAGGGCTTCTACTATTACAGAATCGTCACATAATGTCGTGTACTAAATAAAGTGTCATATAAATACACCTACTTTTAAAAAGCAATCGGATGAGTGAAAATGACCCGTTGACAACCTCCTAATCCCGATTTTAGTTTACATGTCGTTATTTTTGCCTTGCATTTAAGCCAACCATGACCAAATATCTCACGTCAGCCTTATAATCTATTTTAAAAAGATAGTCAGACAAACGCTAAAATCAGGATTACGAGGTTGTCTACAGGTCGTTAGGATTCATCCAATTGTTTTTTATAAGTAGACATATTTAAATAACACTTTATTGATTTCATGACCTTATGTGACCATTTCATAATAGTAGAAGGTCTCATTTGACCCCTTTTTCAAAAAATTCTCTCTCTAGGTCCCACCTCTCCCTAGACCTATTGTCTATCAAATAACCTAACCATATAATAAAGGCAAATTTTATGGTGCATGTACATTATGGAATGTTTTGGTGCATTCTACACTTGGCATCCTTATTGGTAAATGAAACCAGCTCATATTTTTATTAGAAATACGATAATTGCACACCAAGCCCTTCCCCAACCTCCAGCCAATTTCGTTTAACACCAAGAGACGAGAGGAGCTTCATCCCACGACTGATGTTTCTATTAGTGCGAAAGCAAAAGGCCAGGGCTAAAGGAACGAACGAATCTTCAACCCAGGGTTTCCAGTCTCCTTTATCCCTATTATCCTCGTTGACAAGGACGCGCAACCACTTTGTGACTCAATCACTTCACTCCAGGTGAATTTCATCATCTCTAATTTATTCACTTTTCACTAATTTTGATCTTATTTGTTACTTAAATTTATTATTCTTGATGAATATCCTCCTTCAATTCTAAGCAAATTATTCTATGTGCCGCCGTGCCGGCGTTCAGTTAAGCTCAGCTTAAGGTTCACTTATATTACAATCCGTAATCTGCACCTTGTCCTTCTTTCTTTCCCCGTGAGCAAGAGACACACTAGCCTTGTGTGTTGCGTGGATAGGCTTTTTTTATTCAGAAAACCCCAAAAATTTCTTATCTCATAAGTCATAAATCAAATCCGGTTCGTCCCTAATTCCTTTAGGCCTAAAAAAAGCTAGATTATCATAACAAAGAGAATAAGTAAACCTCTCCCTCTCATAGGAACCTTTGACTAGATAAAGTATAGAGGAGTTGCTGACTTCTGACTTCTTCAGTTCAAGAGTCTGTATATGATTATTATATCATTTACTTTTATATTGTTGGACATAATATCCTTCCACACGTTTTATTCTTTTTGGATGCACATGTATTATTGATCTGCTCTTTATTCTGCCGATTTCATACATATATACACATGCTACGTACATGGAAGAAAAACATACAAGGAAATAAAACTAATACAGTTACGTACATGGAAACAAAACTAATGCAAAATATACTGCCTAAGAAAAACGAATACTAAAGATACGTAACTCCTTTGACGCAAGATCAGCGTATCCATGTGCATCCAAAAAGAATAAAACGTGTGGAAGGATATTATGTCCAACATATATACTATGTAGTTTTAATCTTCCCTTTGTATATATTCAAGCTTCAACCATCTTCTTTTCAATATTGTTTCTTTTTTAAGAAATAAACATAATTATCAATTTTTGTGGGAAGAATATGTACGGGACGAGATTAATTATCATTTTTATAGGAAAAGCATTTTTCACTTAAACCATCTGGCTATAAATATATATTTATATTTTGACTTGTGAATTTCTCTTTATACTCTATTCCCTGCATATCTATATAGTTATTATCCTCCCTATTTACATTCAGTGATTCTGTTGCTGCTCTACTCTAAGCCGCAAGGAAACAAATCTATGAATGGGTGCTTTATCTGCTAATAGCAATTTAAAAATGGAAAATATCTTGTCCTAAATTTTTTTCTGTGTTGTTTGTTGTTTATATGTTGGAAATTCGACAGGGTTTTTTATACCTTTAGGACTTCAAAGTTGGAATCAGATCCTCAGTGAGAGTATGGATGCATTTCATGAAGTGTTCTTGTGATGTCAAGTGGTTTCCTTTGATGTCCTGCCGTCCTGGATTGCTATTCTTTCATTGGATTGTGCTGCTTTTGGATAATTGTCCTTGAAGGTTAGCACGAATGAGAGTATGCCAATTGCAGTGTTGCTGATACTCAAGGACATAATTGGCTTGGAATAGTTCACAGTAACTTAGTTTTGTTGATTCTTTGAGCGATTTTGATGTATCTTTTACTCGAGTGTCTTTAGATATTTAGATACGATGTAAATCACTTTTCTGACATTGAATATGTGATGATTGTGAAGTTTTTTAGAATGCGGATTCGTGGTTAGTTTTCACTCTGTAATTTTCATTTAGTTAAGGAGCTTGGAGCTTAACCATAACAATTTTGTCATGGTGAGATTCATTAGATGACTTCGAATCTTCCCCAAGTTTATTCAGTTTTCAACTCCCGTTTTTGCTTAACCAGGCTACTAGACACTTTTCATTCGCAATTAAATTTTACTTGAAGTTTGAGATGATATATGTATGTCTCTAAAACATGATAATATGGAGAAGGGTGATAGGCAGCATACAATTCCCAAGAATATAACCTGTAGGATTGGAGGAAGAAGCAAAACGGAGATGGAAAATGAAGGTGGAAAATGAAGGTTCAACACAAAGATGTGGTGTGAGATGATCATAGTGACAATCCTCACCGCGACAGGATGCTAAGTTTGGAATGGATGGAAAAATAATTGCTCAGTTAGTTATTAGTATCATTCAACTCTCAATACATATGTTTTACTCCCATTTGTAGCCATTTCTCTTCTCTCAATGTTATATAATTCATTTATACAAGCAGTTTTCTTCATTACATTACTCATATGAAGATGAGACCATAAAGAGTTACATCTGGGATATAATAATTCCAGTGATGAGCTGCAAATTATGATCAAGAAAGATAAACATCCTATAGCAAAAACGATCTGAGGTAGAAGCATGAAGTTGATCTTGGATGACTTTACTCTGCGTAAATTATTCAAGACCTTCCCTCTACAAATCTGGGAATTTGATTCTAAAAGAAAGAAAATATTGCAATTTCATTGAAATTGAT